GATGTAGAGGATAGTCTGGAAGAACACATAGGCTACTTACTTTTGTTTTTTCCCCGCTGACAAAATCGCGGGCGAAAAGTAGTATTTCTTCACATCTCACAATTTCTTATATCGTAATAGTTTGTAATTTATGGTTTTTCTATTTAAGTTCACCATCATCATCTCCCCTGCCTTATCCTACTCCCGTAGGGTCGGCGCACCGGGTTTTCGTCCTCAAAAGCACTCTATCATACGTCATCTCAGTCATCACTCCCTTCTTGATCATGTCACCTTTCACGCAATCCATCCATCATCACTAACGTCCTCCTTGTTACATGCGATTCACCCCTTCTCATAACATGCCCATACCACTCTAAGTGTACTTAAGTCTTCCTAGTAGTGTACTTAGTCTACTCTACTTAGGTTGTTTGATTAAAAATAAATATCTATTTTTAAATACCACATGCGTACATATATACGCACTCACTCACACTCACATACCCAAACACATGTATTTGATCACATATGTACCTTGACTAAGAGAAGGCGCTGCCTCCTGTAATACAGGCCCCCACCTAGCTCAGGAGGCAGAGCCCATTGATTGTGTTAAACTGATCTTATCAATCAAGTGTTTTCTTTTTTTTTTTTTCTTTTCATTTTCCTGTTTTTATGTTTTAAAGTGATATATTAATGTTTCCAGAATGACAGTGGTGATAACGAAGCACATAGGTGATATCGCGACTCTGTTCACCGCTCGGCTAAATTCCATCACCGATGAAGATAAGGAACAAATCAGCAATCACATCACCAATATATTTTTAGAGGTATGTATGTGAAATGTGTTTATTCGTTTTTTAAATAATAGGCTTTTTTTTTAAGTGACAAAAATCTAGCAGTTTTATTGTAACAAACTGTCTTTTGAAGTCGGATGTCTTAGTTCCACTGGACGATCAGTGGAATTGGACATTAAGCTATTCATACTAATGTCATAAATTGGAAAATTTGGATGTTTCTTATTATGTATGTTCGTTTAAAAAACATTTAGATTAAATATAACAAAGATAGAACATAAACTGGATGAACGTTTAGGTTATTTTTTGTCCCGCGCGGACGAAGTCGCGGGAAGAATGTAGTGTAATAATGTTATATTGTGTACTATCTTTTTTACAGGCGGATAACAGTTGCAAGTACATACAGAATGCGTTCCAACTAGCGTTACCTATTATCCAGATTGGTGCTGTTTAACATATATGTTTAAATAAATAATTCAATTACCTGAATGAAGAAAAGAAACCCTCATACTATGAATATGAAGGTAATCCTCGGCGGTATTTCCAAACCAATATGACTTAGGGTCCTTAAAGAAACGAGCCTACAATTTCCTCAAAGGCAACGCATCTGTAGTTCCTCTGGTGTTGCGGTGTCGTTTGCCCCCTTATCTTAAAAAAATACGTCATCGAGCTTCTCGAGTCTCATGTTATTGTACACGCGTTGTATTCATATGAATATTTATTATCTTAAAACACCTTCTTTTCATGTTGATTTTTTTTATGTTAATAGACACGAAATATTGTATTAATTGCAACTAAATAAATGTATTATTGGAAAATCTATTTACGTATTTTTTTAATTTTGGAATAAACTAACCGAAAGTTAAAATGATACTTTAACTCCGAAATATCTTTATAAGTAAAATTCTTACATTTCATTATATTTGTGATATTGCATTTAATATTTATAACTCTTTAATAGCTTAGTTTTTTGCCAGTTACGTATACTTAAGCAACGGCGGATCCAGGAGGGGGGATGACCCCCCCTGAGCTGATTGGACAAGAGCTTGACAAAATATATTTACATATTTTGCCAAGCTTGACTTGATCACGACTATGTGACTCCCCTCCCCCCGGCGCCAAAGCTAGATCCGCCCTTGTACATAAGTTTGCACTATCATAAAAAAACTGCACAGAGTACATTATTGTAATAACGAAAATCGCTAAAAGTATGACAATATATTTGCTCCCTTCATTTTTAAAATAATTTAATTATAGTGAAATAAAATATATTTTCAGCTTCTAAATTTAATATATTGATTCTGATTTGTGGTAGGAATTACTTATAAGTATTTTTTTATTTCTATTATACAATAAAATGTTTGAAAATAAAAGGCGTTTAAATTGTGTTTTCTCACTGAAGCAGATAAAAATATTTTGAACTGAATGAGAAAATTAAAACGATTTAAAAAAAATGCGACTGAAACTTAGTTATTTTTGTAATATTTCGACAGGGTTACTATATGATATTTTAATATAATTATTCAGTCGCCAACGTCCATACCACGTTGAAAACACCGGTTCTCGTCCGATCACCGAAATTAAGCAACGTCGGGCGCGGACAGTACTTGGATGGGTGACCGCCTGGGAACACCGCGTGATGTTGGCTTTTTGTTCATTGTTTTGTACAATTATTGTTATGTTGAATTTACTAGTTTTATTTTATTTTGCATTAAATTAGTTGTTTTTTTTTTATCCTTTTTGTTATTTTTAATAGAAGATAATGACCAAAACTAAAACATTTTCGTAAAATAAGCAGAGTCGGTCGCCAACGTCCATACCACGTTGAAAACACCGGTTCTCGTCCGATCACCGAAGTTAAGCAACGTCGGGCGCGGTCAGTACTTGGATGGGTGACCGCCTGGGAACACCGCGTGATGTTGGCTTTTTGTTCATTTTTTTTGTACAATTATTGTTATATTGAATTTACAAGTTTTATTTTATTTTGCATTAAATTAGTTGTTTTTTTATCCTTTTTTTTATTTTTAATAGAAGATAATGACCAAAACTAAAACATTTTCGTAAAATAAGCAGAGTCGGTCGCCGGTTCTCGTCCGATCACCGAAGTTAAGCAACGTCGGGCGCGGTCAGTACTTGGATGGGTGACCGCCTGGGAACACCGCGTGATGTTGGCTTTTTGTTCATTTTTTTTGTACAGTTATTGTTATGTTGAATTTATTAGTTTTATTTTATTTTGCATTAAATTAGTTGTTTTTTTTATCCTTTTTGTTATTTTTAATAGAAGATAATGACCAAAACTAAAACATTTTCGTAAAATAAGCACAGTTGGTCGCCAACGTCCATACCACGTTGAATACACCGGTTCTCGTCCGATCACCGAAGTTAAGCAACGTCGGGCGCGGTCAGTACTTGGATGGGTGACCGCCTGGGAACACCGCGTGATGTTGGCTTTTTGTTCATTTTTTTTGTACAATTATTGTTATATTGAATTTACAAGTTTTATTTTATTTTTTAGGAAATTAGTTGGTTTTTTTTATCCTTTCTGTTATTTATAATAGAAAATAATGACCAAAACTAAAACAATTTCGTAAAATAAGCACAGTTGGTCGCCAACGTCCATACCACGTTGAATACACCGGTTCTCGTCCGATCACCGAAGTTAAGCAACGTCGGGCGCGGTCAGTACTTGGATGGGTGACCGCCTGGGAACACCGCGTGATGTTGGCTTTTTGCTCATTTTTTTTGTACAATTATTGTTACATTGAATTTTCAACTTTTATTTTATTTTTTAGTAAATTAGTTGGTTTTTTTTATCCTTTCTGTTATTTTTAATAGAAAATAATGACCAAAACTAAAACATTTTCGTAAAATAAGCACGGTTGGTCGCCAACGTCCATACCACGTTGAAAACACCGGTTCTCGTCCGATCACCGAAGTTAAGCAACGTCGGGCGCGGTCAGTACTTGGATGGGTGACCGCCTGGGAACACCGCGTGATGTTGGCTTTTTGTTCATTTTTTTGTACAATTATTGTTATGTTGAATTTACAAGTTTTATTTTACTATTCATTAAATTAGTTGGTGTTTTTTTATCCTTTTTGTTATTGACCGACTTCCCAAAAGAAGGAGGTACTCAATTCGTCTGTATGTTTTTTTTTAATAGATATTATATCCTTTCTGTTATTTATAATAGAAAATAATGACCAAAATTAAAACATTTTCGTAAAATAAGCACAGTTGGATTGTAGTTTTACCGCAAATGGCAAACATTGCATACTGTATCTGTCACTCGGAGAAAGCGAAAATTTATCATTACAGCAAAATAACGTGTATTAGTTGCAGGTAAATGAGGTAAGCAATTATATTTAAGTAGATGCATGGATAGAGAAAAAGCAAGAGAGTCTGTTATTCCATGTCAAATTCGGACACACGTTCGTAGAACGCAGTGCATGCCACCCATAATAAAAACTTTGCGAAAGATTTCAATCAATATCTACGAAAGTTTGTCCTGGTACTTATAGAAAATAAAATGTCCATATGTTATTCGGAATGTTGTTTTATTCAAAGAATCTGAACTCATTTTTGTTTATTTCTTCACCAGGTGTGTACAATACTTTGCTGCAACAATGCAGCCGTCGCGTGTTCTTGTCATCAATCATTGCCACGTGTAAAAATTAATAGCGTTACGTGACTCAACATTTTAGGGTTGCCATTGTTGAATGTTTAAATAGGGCTGCTACTTCCAATTCTTAAATTAAATTGTATTGTACAATTTAATTAAAATACTTTTTATTTAAATTATTAAAAGGGTTTAAATCTATTAACAGCGGAGATTACAAAAAAGGGTTTTGCTACTAATGCTGTTCATGCAATAAAGAACCTAATAAGATGCATTTAATTATATAAACATTCAACAAAGAAAGTATTATTTTTATGTAACAGCCAAATATATGTACAGTAGCGGCTTTAGCACTAGTAGAGACCTAGGCGGAATTTTTTAAATCATAATTTTTAATTCCTAATTATAATTTTTAAATCATAACCTGGCTTTCACAATTTACAACCCTTGTTGCACCATAATTTTGTTTCAAGGCACTTATGTGACATTCGTGACAGATGCAATTTTCTCGTAATGTCAAATCAATTACCGTTTCCCGCGCAAACTTTTGCCTAATGTCATTTGAACACGTGTTGTCAATTCAAAAGCATTATTAATGATCTAACCTTTTTAATAAAAATAATATTCGAAATTCAAATCAAAAACAATTGAAAAACAATTGATGACTTTTAGTCATTTTTTATTGTAATTTTCGAAACTTTAGTTCTTAAAATTCCATTTTTAAATCAGCAGTAAAGAAAAAGAAAAAGGGCACGTGCAATCTGTTTACATTTACGGCCATAACCATAAGGTCATCCTTGTACTGTCACTATTTACGACGATCGTGACTTCGTGGTCATATATCATAATGTGTTCGTGCGCACGTGTCCACTTATTTAAAAATAGAATGAAATCGTATTAGAAGTGGAAATCCGTGGTTAATAAATACAAGCGACTTCTAGCAGTTCCTGTCGCTTAAACTGATCTCAAAAAAACTGTAACTTATCTATACTATTATAATAAAGCGTAAACACACACTTCTTTGTTGCCTAAGATGGCAGCAATTACTGCATATTTTTGTAATTCTTTTTTATAATTCTTATTTTAATAAAAAGCCCTCCACTTACGTCACGCTTTAGGCTATATATTTTCACGTCAGTAAACTTAGGGGGTAAATATTTTGACACATGTAAACAACAAAATAAAATTTTCATAATTTTATGCGGATGAAGTCGCACGAGGACAGCTAGTCTTAATATATTTGTAGATCGTGCTTTCATCTTTGATTAAACTATCGCACAATTGTTGTGCGATTGTCGATTGTTTCGCAGCCAATTCAACTGTTTAGTTGCACAACTAAAAATCGAGTAGTGTACGTACCATATAAGCTCGTAATCAAAGCGCGACTAAACAGTTTTGCGATAGTTTCTCTTATCGTTGATTTTATCAATTCATTGCTTCTGATGTACTCATGTAAGTATACTTTTTATAACTAAACGACCAATGTACACAGTTCATCAATATCGACAGCTTTACGTGACATATCAACAGAGTTGGATTCTAATTGTAATTCAGAGTCGAAATTTCCTGCGACACACCAAATAAGGCGCAATGAGACAAGGAAGGCGATGACAATGTTTGTTTTGTTTTCTCGCTGGTGTGTATTTAAAAATTATCGCATTATGATAATCTATACTAATATTATAAAGAGGAAAGATTTGTATTTTTGTATGTATTGAAAAAACTCAAAAAACTACAGGGCCCATTTCAAAAAATTATTTCATCATTAAAAAGCTACGTAATCAGTGAGGAACATAGGCTATGTAATTTTATTATTTTAATCGCACGCGGACGAAGTCGCGAGCAACAGCTAGTATCATATATTTAAAAGTAAATAGCTGAACATAAATGTTTGTAAATTATGTATTAATTAATTAATGTCAGTTATTTATAAGGTATTTTCTATAAACTCTTCAGTTTATTTCCATAATAGTTTGGTTTGTAACTTTAAAGTTGTAAAAAAAGACAATCGAATTGAGATCGCACACCTTTTTGAAGTCGGTACAAAACTGAAAGGACTTTGTTGAAGTATTTACGCGTTCCGTTTACTCCATACATCATTGTAAACGCAGCCTAATTAT